AAAACGAGAATCAAGACTTGCCATGTAAAGGTACATAATCCCAACAATGAATGTAACTGTACTTATCCCTAAAATGTACCAATAAACTCAATAAAATTAAAAAAAATAGTCAAACCATCGTACGTCATAACTGTCTGTAATAGATTCACATAGAAGAAAATCCCTTCCTTAACAGAGCTTACTTTCCTCTGGGACAGGGTGCAATATGCAAAATGAATAAGTAAAATCGATGCTAAGGCAGATGGTGCTACATGAGGAAACAGGTGAGCCTCAGAAAGCCCAGATGTACCGTGTTCGACAGGGATTTCCTCAACAAAGACCCGAAGGAGATGAAATGCTCCTTTTATTTTTATTCAGGTTGAATATCCCTTATCTGAAATACTTCTGAGAAACATTTCACGTTTGGGGGTATTTTTCAGATTCTTTAGAACATTTGCATATGCATAATGTGTTATCTCGGGAATGGCCCTCAAATCTAAAAACACAGTTTATTTAAGTTTCACATACACCTTGCACACATAGTCTGAAGACTTTTTTTCAATTTTTATTTTTTAGTAGTACATGCTTGCAGTGCGGAATGGTCACATTCCTCATGGGGAGTTGGCACCTGCACATAACACATCTCAATTCTTCTTCATCCCCTTCCTACCCCCTCCTTGTACTCCTCTCTCCATCTCTTGGTCCCTTTCCCTTTTGCAAAAGCTCTGTCTCTTTTCCTACTGTCCATCTTTTATTTTGCTCTTTATTTACATTTTGGGCTTTTCTTACAAGAGAAGTCATGCAATACTTAAGCTTGTGTGTCTGATTTATTTCCCTTAGCATTATGGTCTCGAGGTCCATCTTCCTACAAAGGACTCAAGTTTATCCTTTTTATGGCAGAAGAGTACTCTGAGTAATTTTAAATAATGGTTCCAACAAAACTATATGCATTTAGCCATCAGTCAAAGGACTCAAGTTTATCCTTTTTATGGCAGAAGAGTACTCTGAGTAATTTTAAATAATGGTTCCAACAAAACTATATGCATTTAGCCATCAGAGATCCAGTGTGGAATTTTCTGCTTATGGTGTCATGTCAGAACTGAAGAAGCCTGCTTTTGGAGCATTTCAGATTTCAGTTTTCAGATTATTGATGTTCCACTTATACTGGCTAAACTGGGACCACTGTGGGAGGAGCCCAGGGATCCATACTCACAACAAAAACCTGGGGTCATCAGAATGTTTCACTCGCTTCTGAAACCCCGGGACGAAAGGAGTCTCCCACAGTGGCCCGCGAGAGAAGAAAGGAGCGGCACCAGGTCTTAACGGTTCCTGGCAGCTTCAGGTGGCGAAGTCCCACCTTTAGCCTCACAGACACTTCCTACCTCCAGCTTCCAGTATCTGAACATAGTTTAGATCTAGAACGTCCTCGTGTGTTCCGAAGTGGGGCTTTATGAAAGGTGACTGCCTTGTCGAGGAGCTGCCCTCCTCAGTGGGTGAACTCAAAGCTGAGTGAAGAAGCGGGGCCGGTGAGGAGAGGCGGGTCACTGGGGGCATCACCTGGGAGGGTGCAGAACCTCCGTGTCTCCTCCCTTCTCTCACTGTTTCCTGGCCACCGTGTGGTGAGCAGCTCCTCCTGTCAGCCCTTCCCGCCTTGGAGCCAGCCAACTGTGGTGAGTCCTCCAAAAACTGAGCTAAAATCAACCTCTCTTCAGGTTGTAGGTTCCAGGTATTGTGTCCCAGCCATGAAGAAAGTGACTTAACACAGCCTCTTTCTGTGTGCGTGGAACTGGGGGCTGAACCCAAGGCCTTTATGGTCCCTAGCCATTTTTAATTTTTTTTTTTTTCAATTATTTTGAGCCAGGGTCCTGCTAAGTTGCTAAATTGCCCAGGCTGGGTTGGAACTTGGCAAGCATCATACTCCAGCCTCCCAGAGTGCTGGTGAGATTACTGGTGTGCACCACCTTGCCTGGCTCTGAGGCCTCTCATAACTTGCAGCCGAGGCTTTCTCCTCCCACAAACCACACTGATGACCTCACAGGTCTCACCCACAGGCAGGTCACACCCAACCCCCCTCACCTGATGGTGGTGATCTGGCCAAGGTTGAGCTCATAATTATTGACTTGCGCAATAAAGATGGCAGCCAAGGCCTCGTAGAGTGCAGTGCCATCCATGTTGACGGTGGCCCCCACAGGCAGCACAAACCTGGTGATGCGTCGGTCCACACCCAGGCACTCCTCCAGGCAGCGGAAGGTGATGGGCAGAGTTGCAGAGCTGGGGGAGAGAGCCCTAGGTGCTGAGAACAGGCAGTGGAAGGGCAGAGCTGGGACAGGAATGTGCCAAAGGTGGGGGTCCCCTTGAGAACATGGAGGGGCCAGGAGAGAATCTGAGCAAGAGGCGGGTAGAAGTATAACAGTCCAGTATAACTTTACATGAGGAAAAGGGACTGATCGTGATGCAAGGGGAACACAGCAGGGGGGATCCCCCAGCTGAAGGTCTCTTGATCCACTTAAAGCCAATAACTAAAGGGGCTGGGGATTTAGTACAGTGGTTCCACTGCCTGCCTGGCAAGCGCAAGGTCCTGAGTTCGATCCCCAGCATCCCCCAAAAAAGCCAGTAACTGAAGACCAATAGTTTATGCCACTAGTCCATTCCCAGAGGATAAGGGTCTGCCGACCCACACCCTAGGGCTAAGAAAGGGTATTGCAGAAGACTATAGTTCTCACTCCCCGTGTTCACACAGGAAGCAACCCAAACTCCACTATCCTCTCAGTCTCTCCCCAACCACTTCCCAGAGAAGGAAGAAAGACTTCACTGATCGATGAGTTTAGTGGAAGGAATAGGCACCCTACTGGGAGTCAGCTTGTCCAAAGACATGTACTCAATCTGGTCAGCTTTATGTCATAGTGAGAAGCCTGCACTCACAGGGAGGATCTTTGGTTATCAAGCTCCCATGGTGAACTTGGGGAGTTTAATTTGGGGAAAAGTGGTGCTAATCTTATTTGGGCATACACCGAACAGCATATTCTCCAGTCAACATGTGGGCAATAAAAATGGTATTTTTCTTCCATCCATTTGGCTATTGAAATTCTTTTTCAAATTGCTCTGAATTTTGATGAGAGTATGAAGGAAGCTTCTTATTAACCTTTTAAAAGAACAAAAGCACAGGAGAAGGATGCCAAATGAGCCTCAAGACTCCATCTCAAGAGACAAAGACCCTTTGAGCTTGAAAATTACTGAGCTCACAGGAAGTTTCATCTTAAATTCAAAATGGACACATACCTGGTTCTCCTCCACATAAAATAGAAAAACAGGAAAGGATAAAAGGGGACCAGGAAAAGCCAGCCCGAGATAAAGACCGGCCCCCAGATGTTGGCCACCTGCCTACCTCCAGGAGCCCCCAACATTACTGTACAACCAGAAGAGAGGTCTACGGCAGAGGAGGACTGGACCCCCAGAACAGCCCATGAAGGATGTGGAATGGAACCAGGGGGAAGGGAGAACAAGGCCGTACCTGGAAGACGTGCCCATGGCAGTTATGAGCGCCTGCAGCAAGCCCCCGATGAAGGGGAAGGGATTCCGGTGGGTGATGAGGAAGTAGATGAGGGGCAAGACACCACCGGCATGAAGGAACAAGCCCACAATGACGGTCAGTGTGTACATCCCCAGCTGGCCCCCAAGGACAGCCATATCTTCCATTTCCAGAATCTTCCCAGCAATCAGGAACAGGATGCCCACAGGTGCATACCTGGGCAAGCAACATATTTGTTAGATAATGTATCCCCACTTTTTTTTCCAGTACTGAGAACTGAGTATAGGGCTTCTCACACGGAGCTACAGCCCCTTCCCTTTCTTTTTGTTTTGTTGTGTTTTGAGAAAAGGTATCATTAAGTTGACCATGCTGGTCTCAAACTTGCAATCCTCCTGCCTCAGCCTCCCAAGTAGCTGGCATTACAGTCATGCATCACTGCGCTGCTTCTGGATCTCTTCTAGCCCCTCCTACAGGTGTGAAGCTAGATTTTTCAAGGCTGTTCCCCATATAGAGCCCTGGAGCTAGGCAGTGCCTACCATACTGCACTTAACTCACATCATTTCCCGTACATGAACAATCCCACTTTAACATGCTCATCTTATCTCCTCCTCCTGCCCATTCACAGCTCACCCCAACAGCAGAAACATTCCTACATGGCAGGGCATACAACCTTCTGAAGTCTTCATCTCAGCCCCCTATTCGAACTCCTTCCCATCCAACTCCAAATAATCATGGTCCTCAGGACCCCTTCCCTAGACCCTGAAACACCCCCTCTCTTTGGCCCTATAAGTTTCCAGTATTTGCTGCTCTCAAGTCTGTTCTCACTTGTAATTTTGATGCCCCATTATCTTTCCTGCCAGCAGATATTCTTATTTGTCCACCAGCTCGAGCTATCTCATTGTATTTCCCACATCTTGTAACAAACAACTTCCCTATCAACGTTGTCTATGTATTCCTCACTTATGCAATAATTATCCATCGAGTATCTAGTACATTTCAGATACACACTTCCCTGTCCCCATGTTGGCTACAGTGGGCTATCTTTAGGAGTCCATTTGTGGTCACCCCCATGGTGGGTGGATTAGAGGAGATTGGGACCACTTGAAAAATTGGTGCAGTGCGTGGGTCAGAAATGAGGCTACAGGATAGTTTGGCCAGTCAGGGTGCACTTTAGTGTATGGCTGCAGAGTTATCTCTAAGACAGTGTGTCTAAATCT